AACTACCCTAGTTTTATTAAGCACTTGGTTTATCTTTAAATTTGATCTATTGGTCTATGGTGCTGTTAGCTCTCTCTAACGTCAACTAAGGCTATATTTAGTAGAAACTATTTTCTTTTACCATTGAAACATAATAAAGACAGATGACAGCATATATTAGAGGAAAAGTCCTTACAATTTTCTCTGTTTGTACAAGTGATGGAGTTGCAAAGTATTAAAGATAATTTGTCATTTATTGTGGATGGGACACCTGATCCAATGTTCAGTCAGTCAGTAATATTATTTAATTTGGCAAAAATTAACTAGAGTGTTTAGAACATTTCCCCTCTTTGTCAGTTGTATAGAGATGACAGTTTTAATATAATAGACTCATTTTTGTTTATGCTATTTTTTTTGTTTCCTTTTAATTTTTATTTTAGATTCAGGAGGTACATGTGCAGGTTGTGCAGGTTTGTTACCTAGGTGTATTGCATGATACTGAGGTTTTGGGTACAGTTGATCCCATCACCCAGGTACTGAATATAGTACCCGATAGCTAGTTTTTCAACCCTCATCTCCCTTCCTTCCTCCTCCCCCTTCCTTCCTCCTCCATCTAGTTTTCCCCAATGTCTACTGTTCCCATCTTTATGTCCATGAGTACCCAATGTTTAGCTCCCACTTATAAGTGAGAACATGCAGTCTTTGGTTTTATTTTATTGCATTAATTTACTTAGGATAATGATCTCCAGCTGCGTTCATGTTGCCTCGAAGGACATAATTTCATCCTTTTTTATGGCTGTGTTTTATTCCATGGTATCTCTGTGCCACATTTTCTTCATCCAGTCCACTGTTGAAGGGCACCTAGGTTGATTCCATGGCTTTGGTACCGTGAACAGTGCTGTGATGAACATGCGAGTGCTTTTTGGTGGAAGAATTTCTTTTCTTTTGGATATGCATACTGTAATGGGATCGCTGGGTCAAATGACAGTTCTAAGTTCTTTGAGAACTCTCCAAACTGCTTTCCACAGTGGCTAAACTAATATTACCACTAGCAGTGTGTAAACATTCCCTTTTTTCCACAACCTCACCAGCATTTGTTGTTTTTTTGACTTTTTAATAGTAGCCAGTCTGATTGGTGTGAGATTGTGGTTTTAATTTGCACTTCTCTAATGATTAGCAACGTTGTGCATTTTTTTGTATGTTTGTTGGCCACTTGTATGTCTTCTTTTGAGAAGTGTCTGTTCACCCATTTTCGTATCTTGAACATTTCAACTTGTATAATTACTTGGTGGGAATAGACTATTAACTTTTGTTTTTGTAAAACTGTTCAAAAAATTCATGGTGTAAACTATTTGCATTCAGACATCAAATTATTTTGATTTCTAGTTATTGCTGTCTTAATATTGGAACATGGTAAACTCTAGATGAAAAAAGACAAATTTAGTACAAATTTTACTTTCTAAAAAGGCATAAATTCTCTTCTTACTCTTCTCCCTCCTCTCTATTTTTCATTTGAAAATGGTTTTGGTGAAGTTTGTTTCAAATTATAGATTTCTGGATTTCCAGCATTCATAATTTATGGAAGAACTGGATGCTTTATCACATAAATTAACTTTATCCTGGCTCGTCTGTGTCCTAATATGATTGTTGGTTTTTTAATGAGACATTTTTAATATCCTCATTAATTTTTGTGTTCAATGTTTATTCCGTAAGCACTTGTTGGTTGTACTGAAGGCACAAAACATCGTGTAAGGCCCTGAATGTGCTGTATAGTGTAATGCAATCTCATTACTTTCCTCAAAAAGTTTGTTTTCTAATAGAAGAGGTGAGTTATGCACTCAAATAATATAATTTAAGGTCCAAAGAGATTTTTAAAAAATAAAACAAACTTTAGAGAGGAGCACATACCATGGAAATTCAATTAGATAACATTACATTGTGACACCAATGTTATACTTGTGCTCTGACTACTTGCTTTTCAATGAATGTGTTACCTGGGTCACTTTTCCATTCAATTATATTATTTTTAGAAAAACTTATTTGATTAAAAGAATTGATTATGAATATTAAATTAATGTAAATGTATTATTATTAACAAATATATGCTATACTGTTTACTGCAGGATATAGCTAACATTAGCTATCCTTAATCGCTGCTTAATTTAACTTGATTTCTTTAAACTCAGACTTTAATGGAACATAAATTGCTGAATCATCCTGAACCTCTTCTTTAAAATTAAAATACCTTATAGGGGATATACAGGGCCTAGCTCCAAAGATTCAGATCATCAATAGTCCTTGAGGGTGTTTGTTCTTCAGTCTTAAGGAGATCTCCTTAGGAGAATTGCTCATTTGACCTTGCTTTCGGAACTCTCATTTATTTAGAAATGTTTTGATGGATTGGATCAGATTAAAAGACCAAGTCAACATATGCACAATTATCTTAAATATTGTGAAATCTGATTGACTTATGGTCAGTACTGGTAGAAGAGAGAAAACAAATATAATGTTACAAATTCACTGAGGTCATTCTGGATGCATATTTTTTGACATGATCTTTAGGAAATCCTTTTGTAATTTTCTGATTTACTTTATTCTAAGGAATTGTAGAAAAATGGTTTCTGTTGCCAACAGATGTAATCTTTAAATGTCTCATAATTTTCCTGGGTACTTGAAATATTTTTTCAGTAATGCTGATAAAGCTATGGCTAAATAACTAATAAAGAGATTGTAAACTGAAAGATGCAATTAGTCTCCTTAATAGATCTGTTTTAAGACAAATTCCTTCAGGACTGATAACAGACAAAATAGATTTGGGGGTTTTGTGTTTTCCTTTGACCTTTCATTTTGATGGTTCACTGTTGTCACTGTTATTTCAGATGGGCCAAAGCTATAACGATAATGCCCATTTTTGTTATTTGGAACATTTTCAGCTTCATATTCCTTTGCAGATCTTTTCTATTCTATTTCGTTCAGAGTCTTATTATCTGAATTATGTCCAAATTTTTAAAGATGTTAGTGATTTGAGATACTACCCTTCCAAGAGGGCACATTAACCTTTAACAAGGATTCTTAATTCTTGAGTCCATAAAAGTGAATGTTGGTTATTGTAGATAAAGTAGCAGACCAAGAGGAGGTATTTGGGTGCAGAAAGGTCTTTGAGTGCCTATGGAATCTCTTTGGTCATTTCTGGATTTAAAATAGGCCTCATCTGCAGTTTCTCAGATATAAAATTTTACAAGATTTATTTTCTAATCACAAAATCCTTAATCACTATGTGAAAAGTTGAGTTTATTGGAAAGTCATCTTAAAAAGTACAAATGAGCCTGTAATCCCAGCACTTTGGGAGGCCGAGACGGGCGGATCACTAGGTCAGGAGATCGAGACCATCCTGGCTAACACGGTGAAACCCGTCTCTACTAAAAAATACAAAAAATTAGCTGGGCGAGGTGGCGGGCGCCTGTAGTCCCAGCTACTCGGGAGGCTGAGGCAGGAGAATGGCGTGAACCTGGGAGGTGGAGCTTGCAGTGAGCCGAGATTGCGCCACTGCACTCCAGCCTGGGCGACAGAGCGAGACTCGGTCTCAAAAAAAAAAAAAAAAAAAAAAAGTACAAATGATTCCCTGTTTTCAGAGATGTATATTCAGCAACAACGTTCCATGATTTGACACAGTTGATTTTAGGGACTGAGAACTTATAGTTTTGCTGTTATTAAAGAAAGCATGGAAAGCATGTCTATTTCCTGCTACAGTCCTTACTTCCTATTCTAGTTATGAACAGGAGATGCTAGAAACTGCTGTACATCATCTGTCTTCAACCTCTGCCAAGAAAGGAATGTCAAGAAAGGCATTCTGGAGATCATCTGGAATTTGTCTGACTGACAATATCGTGCAAAGCAGGTCTAAAAATAAAGACAGGATTGTTGTCCATAAGGAGCAGCTTATTTCATCATTGTTTTTCAGCTGTAGCCTTGTCCCTTGTGTGGTGGTTTCTGTTTCTCAGAACAAGCTAAGAAGAGCAGTTCTGTTCCTGTGTTCTGGGAGTGCTTGAGTACAGAGTCTGTGTTTTTGAAAAGAATATTGGCTCATACAAGGAGTCTATGCTCTGCAATTGTAATTTTTTATGCATGTAAGAGGGAATAGCACCCACAAGAATTAAGCCTGAGAAATGGAATAGAAATGCCACTGTCCAATGAAGAGAAGTGCTTTTTATATTTTATCTTTATTTTTATTTATTTATTTGTTTGTTTGAAACGGAGGCTTGCTCTGTTGCCCAGGCTGGAGTGAAGTGGCATGACCTTGGCTCACTGCAACCTCCGCTTCCTGTGTAAAAGCAATTCTCCTGCATCACCGCCCCCCGCCCCCCGCTGAACAGCTGGGATTATAGGCGTGAGACAACATGCCTGGCTCATTTTTTGTGTTTTTAGTAGAGACGGGTTTCACTATGTTGGTCAGGCTGGTCTCGAACCCCTGACCTCAAGTGATCCCTCTGCCTCGGCCTCGCAAAGGGCTGAGATTATAGGCATGAGCCACTGTGCCCAGTCAGAAGTGCTTTTTTATTGATATTATATTGAGCCACCACACCCAGTCAGCAGTGCTTTTTTATTGATACCGTATTGGTCTTCTTAACAGAAAACATAACAGCATTACTAAACAGGGGGTCTGATTTGTTACCTTGTTTTTGCTTTATTGGGAAGGTCAACATAGATTTTGTGGCAGAGGAAATTTTTATCTATTCATACTCAAAGGTCATCAGACTTTGAGACAATGCTTACTTTTCCTGTGCTTATCTGAATTTACTTTAATCAAATACGGATCCTACAGTACATAATCTTAAGATATACCCTGAAATACACTGCAGAAGTTTCCTAAGAACTTGGTAGCTATATACGCTATAGTTAATAGATTTTCTCTGCGATCTGTTGAAGTATGGAGAAGACCTCAAGGTTATTACTAATCTTATAATTAACATTGTAATTTAGATCTATAGCTTGGTAATCTTTTTTTTTTTTTTCTTTTTTAGATACTAGCTCAGTCATGTACTGAAATCCTAGAATTGCAGCCCTCAAGTGTCTGTGTGGGGGGTAAGTGTTTAGAATTTAAAAATACCATGTAAGAAATTGTATTTTTTTTCCTAGCTAAAATATATGATATGAAACTCATGTTGGAAAAAGAATAGCAAAATTAACTTTTTTGGCATCTTTTTTGTGTAAGAATTTTTAAATAATTCCTTGAAATATTTCTATTTTAAATTCAAATTTTTAAGATTGGAATGTTATTTTAAATAATGAGCATATTGTGTGACAGGCTTTTAGAATCTTCTGTATATTTAGTTCACGTTTGAGACCTTTCTTATGGCAAATAAAATAAAATATGAAATCGTTTCTTTTGTCTGATTATACAAACAGTCAGATATATGTAGACTTTGAGCTCCATGCTTTGATGACCTGGCCAAAGTACAGAATCTGCCAGCTCAGGGCACATAAGGAAGTGACTTATGGACGGATGGCAGGAAGGAAGCAGGTGGCTTCATCAGCTGGTGCTAAGCACATACTCAGGTTTTCACACCTCCCAGCCATCCTTGCCCAGACAGAGTGTGATTCTTTCTGGCCTATTTTATTTCTTTTTCAAGCCTGACCTACAGTTCATTTTAACCTGACTTTACTTTAAAAAGGAAAAATATTGGGTCTGGTGGGGGAGAAAATATGTTGTGTAATTTACCACAGAGCCACCCAGCCTGTTGTGCATGATCTCACACTGCATCTTCTAGATTCCCTAATGAATGAATATGGAGATGTTTAAGGGAAGTAGTGCATCTGAACATCCCAGGGAAGGATTATCTTTCCTAAAAGTGAAGGTTAATACATTTCTAGACATAACAAAGAAAAATAAATGGAAAAATAACATTAAAGTAGTAACTATTGTGTATTAAACTCCTGTTCTGTGCTGAGTGTATACTGGGTTGTTTGCATTTATAATTTTACCTAATCCTTATAACAACACCATTTGAAAGTTTTATACATCCCTAGTTTACAGATGGGGAAGCTGAGGCAGAGACAGGTTCAGTACTTGCTCCTGGTAATTACCCTGTTTGACCCTTGCCTGTCTGACTTTAATGGTCATACTCTTACCGAATCACATTTTAAGTTTTATCTGAACTTTATTTTAACTTGCAAGTAAAATTCCTTTCATAACACAGTAAATGAAAAGTGGGTTGGCAGTAGTTTCTTGCATAGTTAATGACTATATTATACTTGTATTATGTTAGATATGAGAAGTTTTAGAGGATTGGTAATGTTAAATTAAAATGGAGAACAGGCCTGAAGAAGCCCCAAGCTGGCAAAAACACTTAGGCCTCATAAGTAGCCTTAACCTTACTTGATTTGCAAATATAATTGGAACTTAATTTGAACTGTTTATTGCAAATGCCTATATTAAGAAAAATAGAATTTAAGTGCAACCAATCAAAAACAACTAACAAATTTATATAACTAGGGACTTTCCACTGGCATAGACCAAATAAGGCAACTGTGTAACTGTAACCCATCAAATATTTTCTTTGGTTTACTTCCACGCTGGTTTTATAAAAGCCTCCCCCTTGTATTCCCTTGGTAGAGCGGTCAAACCACTTCTGATTTGGATCTGTCTAATTCAAGAATTGTCTGCTCAAATAAACTATTTAAAATTTTATTTGTGCTTCAATTTACCTTCTAAACAAGTGTTAATTGCTATTAAAATAGTTGATATACTATCTTGCAGCTTAGCAGTAAGCATTCATTGTCAAGATATTTGATCAGTTAACTTTCATTCCAGCCTATTCTCTCACTCTCCACTCTCTAACATTTTTTGGTGCTTGCTTCTATTATAAACAATGGTACAGTAAGTTACATCAACTTTTGCGACTGGCCATCAATTATTAGCAATCCAAAATACATGATCTTTTGATTATTTATAAGTTTGAAGTAGAAAATGAATCAGGATTAGTAAGGTGAAGAAGTGGTTAAAGAAGAACTCTGTATGGAACAGGCATAGATTAAAGAAAGTACTACATATGACTTTTCTAAGAACAAAGAACATACATAATTAATTAGTTTTATTTACATTCCCAAATCTTAATACCTGAGAGTAGGGAAAAATAACGTTTTTTTTTTTTCCCTGGTATTTTCCTAAGGATGGAAATTGAGGAGGTTTGTATAGTATCTGTCTGGGAATGACTGTTAATGCTTTCATTCACAGTCACTACTGGGAATCACTTTGTTTAGAAAATAAAATAATGCATCCCCATGTGGCAGTGAATGGTGTCTTCACTACATTTACCTAGAGGGTCTAAGAAAGCCAGCATAGTTGGAAATATAGAACTATGTCTTCTTTGCTATTAACATTCATGAAAAAATTATTCTATGCGCCTTAATGCTTTCATTTCAGCTTGTCTTTTTTTTTTTTTTGATAAAGCAGTGATTAAAATGTTTATTTTTCCTTTTACTTCTAGAGGAATTTCAGATTGTCTTAAGTGGAAGAGGATTCATGCTGGGCAGTCGGAATGGCAGTGTTCTCTGCACCTACACTGTAAATGAAACATATACAAAGAGTAGGTCCCCAGTAATCTCAGTGTTGTCTTAATCTCTGCAAAGCACATCAGCATCAAATGTTTTCTTTTTTTCTCCAACTAAAGCTGTGACATATTTTTTAATCAAAGAAGAAAGAAATGAAGTCTGAATGATAATACAGATAGTAGTGATAATTACTTAATAGTTATTTAATAATGGCAATGTTTGTTTATAACTTAATAAATGCTGGACCCTGTCCTAACTACCCTCATTGAAGAGATGATGGTTTGTGGCTAAAAGAATGAAATTACTTGTATGTGGTGACACAGCTAATAATGGACAGAGCTGATATTTGAACTCACTTTTCCTGACTGTACTCTGTACCTACTGCGTCAACCACATGATTTAATTGCTTCTTTCCTCAGGCTTCTTTCTTGTCACACTTGCCTTAAAATCTAATTATCTTTGGCTTCTCTCCTACTTCTTCCTTTTTTTTCTTTTTTTTTTTTGGTCACTTGTATTCTTTATCTGATTTCCCAATAATTTGTTAGTTTATTGAAGATAGTCTTTTTTTGCCTTACAGATTTTTGCATCTCAGATTCTCACCCAGCATAGTGTTGGTTGATAATTTTCATATTTATTGAATTGAGTTTTAATTTTCCCTGTCCTTGACTTTTAAAAAAGCCAAGAGTAAGTTTTTATTTTCATTCTGAAAAAACCCTCCCTCTTAAATAGATCTTAGTTTTATGAGCATCTTGGGTATCTATATAAACGTTTTTTCTTATTAATTATTATATTGTCCTTCAAAATTTATATTGTAAGGCAGACTTTATAACTCTGTAAATTCTGGTAGAGTTTTTTTTTACATTCGTCTGCCATTTTGCTCTTTATCTGAGTGTAAACACTCCAATTAACACAGCTTTGGCCATACACACAGTACCTATTCAATATGTGTTTATTGAATTAAAATGGTGAGGATCTCAGCATAGTGAATATTATAATTAATTCCTTTCTTTTCTATTAAGATCACAATTTTAGTAAGGCAAAAATTTACAAACTCTCTTCATAGTAGGTTCCACAATTGAGTAGGACAAATAATTTTATTTTTATTCAGTTGTCATTTGTATCTAAGCATTAGCTTGGCCTAGCTCCTTTTGATTACATATTTGAGATCATTATAAAATAAACGTATTTAATGTTTAGCTACATAAGATTAAGTTTGTTAAAGTAAATCCTCAAATAAATGAAATTGGTATTTTCCTCTTTTAGATTCTAGAAGGATCAATTTGACTAAGTAACTTTTCTTCATGTTTCTAGTCTAAATCATTTTTCTTGTATTTTATTAAAGTTACAAGGGCGATTTAAGTATACAACTTCATAAAATGCATTTATTTACTGTAGACACAAATGTTTTATTAAACTTGTGAAATAAGTTCATTTTCCTTTGGACATCTAACTTTCATCTTCCTTCATCTTTTCCAAAGTGTGCCTTTAAAATAATACAGAGCATTTATTTAAAAAAATCTGAGATATTTAAAAAATTTAAGATAAATTTTATAGTATCTAGAACTTAGTCTAAGTCAAAATAATCCTAACTTATGATTTACCAGAACTATATGTCAACGGAGCATGTAATCTTTCTTTCCATTTTTCATTCCCTTTTACTTCTCTTTCTTTAGTTGTTTTATGTTAATATATCTAGTATTCCACATTTGAACTCTGATTGAAGCATGCTGTTCATATTATTAATGAAACTGTGTGAGATGCATAAAACCCTTTTTTAATTCAGTGGCATTTTATTTTCTAGGTGTAAAACCAGTAAGTGTACAGTTGAACTCTATGCTTTGTCCTGCACCTATCCTGAATAAAGCTGGAGAGTAAGTACTTAATTTAAAACCATTTTATAACATTTTTAGTAAAAAATTATTTAGAAATGGTGACATATACACTGGTCACTTTATTCTATCTTTTTTTCGATATACAGAGCATTAAAAAGTAAGCCTTGGGCAAGCCATTTAGTACTAGGCAAGCAAGTTAGCACTTCAGCTATACTCTTAGTAGGTTGAAAATGCTAAAATGTGTTTTATCTAGTTTCTTCAATACTGATTAAAAAGGCTCTATGAATATTTATCTGGATGAGTTTGAGAACTCTTATTAGAACCTATAAATAATCAGAGCCATAAACGTTATTTTAAACACACACACATACACACACACAGAGTTCAAAAGTGAGATTTTCAATAATTACTATAGTGTTTAATAAATATTGCTATTAAAGAGCATCAAGAACATGGCTAAAAAAAGGCACACCTTGCACTAGGAAATGCTTGTACATTTGTATTAACTTGTGCTTTGTGTTCCATTTCTGTTAAGGTCTATTTTCTCATCTTCTTTTGTGTGGCCAAAAAACCACGATATCTGCTAAAAAGAAAAATATATTTAGTTTGGATGAAGGAGTCTTATTTGAACTGTTTATACACAAATAATTCTACTGGTAATTTAGTGTCCCCATTTGTGATTTTTTTTCAGTTCTATGATGAAGCAAATGATTACAAATAGTTCAAATATTCTCTAGCCCAACAGTAGAGCATGTTTAAGATAGCTAATAGCATACAGTCTTCTACGATCTCTTTATATAGATCTGATACTGAAAGCAGGGAAAAATTACATATACAAGGCCACAATCCAAAATCTGGATTAGTATTTAGAGACTGAAGATTATATTTTCCTCTATGGAAACTAAGAAAATCATTCTAGCATTTTTAAGCTGACTTGAACATTTATCTTTTGTGGATGCTTAAGTATTCAAGATATCTATCGTACATCACTTTTGGTCATGCAAGTAAATTGGAACAGTATCAGCTTTCTATTTTAAATAGATTCAAAGAAGCTGCACAGGATAGCTTACAAAACTAAGACTATTATTCATTTTCTGTATCATGTAATAATTTAGCCATAGGTAAATTAAATTGACATTGGAATTTGAGGCAAGTCAGTTTCTTGTGGAGTCATCTTAACCCCAAGCACACCATAGGACTCGATGGCTTTCTGAGTAATCGTGTCTGTATTAGCCATGATGCATCTATTGACTTAAAGTTTAGTCTTGTTTTATTGAATCTGTAATTCCAGGTTGGTCCTCCTGATTACTCCCCCAATCTATCTCCCAAACTGTATTTTCCATTTTAGCCATTGGCAGCTTCATCATTTTTGTTGTTCAGGTAAAAATCTTTTGAGTCATTATTGATTTCTTTCTCTATCTTAGACCCAGTCTATCAACAAATCTTCTCAGCTCTAATTTCAAAATTTATCCAAAATCCAATCTCTGCTTTCTACCTCTACTGCTACCATTCTAGATAAAGTAACTGTCATCTCTTGCTTAGATTATTAGTCTCTCAACTGGTCTTTCTGTTTCCGTCCTTCACAAGAGTGATCTTGTTAAAACAGATCAGTTTATGTCATCTCTTCACTTAAGATTCTTGGTGATGAGTTCTTTACCCCACTCGAAGTAAAAGTCTAATTAGTGTAATACTATACCAGGTTCTACAGGGTCTTGTCTCTCACTCCCTCTCAGACTTCATCTTCTATTTGCTGTTTCTACTCAGTTATGGTCACACTGGCCTCTTTGCTGTTCTTGACCACATCTGCGCACTCCTGCTCCTGCACTTTTGTACTTCTTGTTGCCTCTGCTTGGATTGCTCTTTCCCTGATCTAGAACTGTATATGTGAACTCAGTCTAAGTAAAACAAAAAAATCCTAACTTATGATTTACCAACACTGTATGTCAATGGAGCACATAAACTCTTTCTTTAAGTCTAGTTTAAATGTCACCTTCTCAGTAAACCCTTTTCTGATCACTCGATTTAATCATGCAATCTTTCTCTTTTGAGTCTATAACCTGTATACCTTTTTCATGTTTTATTTTTTCTCCAAAGCCAGTTGTTTGTCTGCTATTATGTTTCTACTTCCTGCTAGAACATGTTTTATCTTGTTTCTTGTTGTATTACTAGCACTTAACACAATGTCTGATTCATAGTAGATTTACTAAATGTTTGGTGGATAAAAGGATGAATGAATTTTTCTCAAATATTCTTGTTTACCAGTTAACATAAAAATCTGAAAGAGGTAATTTGATTGCTGGGATCAGGTACCTGTACCAGGATGGAGGAAAATGGTTAGAATTTTATTTTGGGGGCCATACTATTTAAAGCAGCAAAAAACCAACCAACCAACCAAACAAACAAAAAAGCCAAAAAAACCCACTATTTTAAATAATAGTGACTAGTTAACGAAAGTAACTTACTTTCTTCTCTGAAGTAGTTATAAAATGCATTATGCCTTTTTTATCCCAGGCACTGATTTTGTTTTCTCTAGAATTTGCCTTTGGGCACAGTCTTCTTTTGAAGAGAATACCATCGAGGCTAGTGATATACTTTAATTATTTGTAGATAGGTTAAATACCCAGGAGATACATTTTAAAATCACACATAGCATAATAAATATCAGACATGAAAAATCATCATTCATTTAGATTTTGACATTAATATTTCACCTACAAGCAAACTGAGAATGTTCTGGGACAGAGATGTGTCTAAAAGAATTACTTTTGCCTTTGTTTCCTGGACCAGGTACATGATACTACTGAAGCAAAGCTTTAGATTTTATTTGTTAATGTACTGGGTATTTGGGGACATCATTATTTATTTTACTTAGTATGTTGCAAGTAATTTGGGCCTTTCCTATGCCTTGAATTTTCTTCAGACACTTTTGTAGGTGATGAACTCTCTTATGAGATTGGATCGAAATCAACGCAATTGAAACAGTTTAGCCTTGTAAGGTGACTGATGCTTAATATGTTTGCCTAATTAGCTTTTGGCTAAGGATTCAGACCCATTAAGTAGCTAGTTAGTCTATGTTTCAAATAAACACATCTGGCCCAACAATGAATGAAGGTTTTTCCTGTGTGAGGGTGACAGATGTGGTGATAGTTCCCCTCATTCTCTCACTTAAATAATTAACAACATGCTGGTGAAGTAACCCTAGACAGAGAGCCTCAAAGCCAGATGCACAGTCTCAGAGCTGCATCCATGGGCATGTGCCTCATCTCATTAGCCTGCTCTATCTGTTCTTTTCTTATCTTTATGTTATTTCATGAATTGCACTTTGCTTGAGGATTATTCTTGTAAAAACTTAAGGCTTGTGGATTTTGGTTTAAAAGAGCGTGTGGGAGATCGAGGACTAAGACTGTAGCCGAATAGCTAGGACACAGGTCGTCATTTGGAATTTAATGTTATGGAGTAAAGGAAAGTTAAAGTTATCTGAGCAAATCCTATCCAGGTATATCATTTTGAGCATTGTTCAGATGGATCTTTCAATAACTTTTTTTTGATAGACCTGTCTGATAAATACAGAGATCTGTATTTATTAAATTTCTTTATTTGATATAGATATTTAGGCTAAGATGAACAAACTCTTAGTATTTAAACAGAAAGAATGGTCATAGTAGTGAGGTTGTTGTTTTCTATTTCTTTTGTTGAACATAGTTTACTTTTAAAATGGTTTATGATTAAACAAACTGTTTTACCAAGAAAAATCTGCAGATTATTTAGGAATTTATTTCTAAAAGTGGTTCCTTTGTGCCAAATTGTCTTCCTTAAATTTGAATAGGATGCATTCTCTGACATTCTTTGGATGTTCCCTAATCCAGGGCACTAGCCTCACAGTTTAATGTGCAAGTATTACAAGTATTTGCAACATGGGTTTATTCTCTGACCCTTGTTCTGTGAGACATCAACAATAGCACAGCTGTTCTGCAATACTTGAGATCTCAAACCTGTAATTTGGCAAGAAGAACAGAACAAATTGGGTAAATATACATAAACACATTGTGAAGAAAGAAAAACAGAACAGAATGAACCGGAGTCTTATCCTACAGTTTGTTTGATGGAGATGATTTAAGGAGGCATATGGTATAGTTAAATGTGCTTTCAAAAACATTGGCCAGAATCTTCTGGCAAATATGAAATAAATATCTAAATCAGATGAAACTGATAGTATTAGTTCTCTTAAAAGGCAGTGTGGGAAGACACTTGACAGAGTGTTTTGAGTAAGAAGTGGTGGGACATCACTGTATGTGGAAAATTTCAAGGAAAACTGAAGGATCATTGAGATGAACAGTGTAGCAGAGTTGAGGTTAGAGCCTGGCTTCGTAATAGAATCTTTTTATTTTTCTTCAACTTTCTTTTTCTATGTTAAGCCCAATCTATTTTTCCTGGAATAAAATTGATTAATTCTATTTCTCTTTCTTGGTTAGATAAATTCTGCCTTTACTGTAGTTTCTGTTCTTTCCAAAAGCATACTTACATCTGTAAGTGTGTGTGTGTCTATACAATCCCTAATTCTCTTATGTTAGTAGCACGTGATACAACCACACATTATTCCTTTTGCTTCTTGTAAGGAATGAGATTTTATTTTTTTGAAAAATCATGGATAGTAAGACATTAGTTATGTCTTTATTTGAATATAAACACTAGAATCATGATGATATGGGTTAAAGCAAAAGGCTTTCTCTGTTTCTGTACCCCACACTTCCTTGGTGGAACATTTCTCTTTTCCTTCACATGGTGCAGTTTTCAGATTATATCTATCAATGTGATTAGTTCACCTAATCGCATTGCCTCTTCATCCTAAGTATTATATACAGTTCTGGAAATGTCTTTTAACACATGAACACATGGAGGGGTGGCTAATAAGATGTCACCACATATGGAAATGTTAAATGGATACAATTTAAAATATTGAAAAAAATACTATTCAGATGTGATGCATTAACTCTCAAGACATTGGAAGATCTGTCACATAACAGACAGATTTGACTTAC